CCATCCTGACCACCCGTCTCCTCTCTCCTCTCTCCCGCAGGGCTTGCCTGGGAACCGGGGGGAGCGCGGGGACAAGGTAAGGGGCCCGGAGGGCTGGAGAGGTGGGGTGCGGCGAGCGATGCACCCCCAGGGGTTGGTGTCCCCAGGGAGGTGCTGCCCACTGCCTGCCACAGACCCCTGCAGCGTCTCACCATCTCTTCTTCCTCCCAGGGAGACACTGGGGCCCCGGGGCCCAAAGGAGACAAGGTGAGTCCACAGGACAGGGGGCACTGGGAGGGAGGGCAGCAGCACTGGCCACCCTGTCCACCACCAATCCCTCTTTCGGTGTGCAGGGTGATACTGTGGTGGTGGAGGGGCCCACTGGAGCACGAGGCAGCAAGGGGGAGCCGGTAGGAGATATCCCCCTTCTCCCTGTTCCCTTCCCTGTTGTCCCTCGTGATGGGCAGGGGCTGTCCTGTGCATCCCCTTCCCCAAGGCACTGCCAGCCCTGCCCCTGGCCCGGGGCAGCTCCCAGCCCTATGGATTTGATCTTGGATCCTATCTCTTGAGTGGCACAGGGCACAACCCCTCTACACCTCTGCCTGCCAGAAGAGCTGGGGGGGCTTCTTGCTGGCAAGGGACCTTCCCTTGCAGACCATGTTTTCCCCTCTCCTTCAGCCATCCCACAGACCATGTCCCTGTCCTCCTCACTCCAACCTGCCTCTGAGCATCTGCCCATACCCTGAACCCTCACTGTGTTTCTCCCTTTGCAGGGCGAGCGTGGCCTGAAGGGCACAGAAGGGGACAAGGGCGACAAGGGGGAGCAAGGCATGCCTGGAGAGAAGGTACAGGATGGGGGGCTTGTGCAGAGCTGGAGGGTGCTGAGCTGGGGACCACAGAGGGCTGCAAACAGGGTGGTGGACAGAGGGACTGAGGCACCATGGCATCCTTGAGCCTCGTGAGCTGGTGCTTATGGGCACCCTGGCATGGTGGTGGATACCCTGGCAAGGGGAGCTGCCAGATCTAGCCTCGGAGGCTACTGTGGCCATGCTGTGGCCAAAACTCTCCCTCTTGCCCTGTGTCGATCTGGGTTTCTGCTTGCAGGGGGCGAGGGGTGAGCAAGGTGAGAAGGGCTCCATGGGCTTCTCTGGGGCACGTGGCCCTGGTGGACAGAAGGTAAGGAGCTGGGAAGCCCCTGCTACTGACAGGGTGTGGGGTGGGCGCTGGGGGTACCGTCTCCCTTGCCTGCCCTGACCAATACCTTTGCCTTCTCCAGGGAGAGGTCGGAGTATCAGGAGAGCCCGGTGAGCCGGTGAGGAGCCGCGTCTTGGTGCCACTGCCACCCCACTGCGGGGCAGGAGCAGACCCCCATCATGCTTTGTGCTCTCCTGCAGGGCCAGCCTGGCCGTGATGGGATCCCCGGAGCTCGGGGGGAGAAGGGGGACACGGGACCCCTGGGCATGCGTGGCCCCAAGGTAGGTTGGTCCCTCCACTGATGCTTTGCTGACCAGGATCCGTGCCAGCGTGGTGGGGCTCTGACTCCCCTCCTCATCCTCCCAGGGTGACCGGGGCATGAAAGGCGCCTGTGGCCTTGACGGGGACAAGGGTGAGAAGGTGAGTGGGTGCTCATGGGGTGCTGTGGGAGCCTGGATGGCGCCTGGAGGCTACAGCCCTTTGGATCCCCTCTGCCGGCCGGCGGGAGCAGGGAGATGGCTGAGGCTGGAGCTCGGCCCCGCAGCAGGGCCAAGGGGTCCCTCCTCTGCCCATGGCTCTGGGGTGAGCACTGAGGGGCACAGGACTGACCGTCCCACCTCTCTCCTGCCCGCTGTAGGGAGAGCCAGGGATGCCGGGACGCTCGGGGCTACCGGGGAGGAAGGGCGAGCCGGTAAGCACCGCGCTGGCTCCCGGGAGGGGGGACGTGTGGCCGGTGGGTGACGGATGTCTGCTTTGTCCCCCAGGGAGAGATAGGTCTCTCAGGACCGCCAGGCATCCCTGGGAAGGAGGGACTCATGGGACCCAAGGTAAGTCAGGGCAGTGCTGGTAAAAGCTGTGCTGGCACTTCAGCCTTACAGCTGCCCATCCCCCGCTGCCTGTCCCTTCCTCTTCGCAGGGTGACCGGGGATTCGACGGGCAGCAGGGAGCCAAAGGAGACCAGGGGGAGAAAGGAGACCGGGTGAGCAGGCTGGAAAGGGATGGTATGCATTACACCACATCACTTTTACCAGGATCTGACCTTGGTCCAAAGCACATCAGAGCCCAGTACTCCCAGAAGAGCTGTCTGGCATTGCTCTCAGTTGTGTTACTAAACTAGAAGTGACACCAAGCCCCCACTCCTCACAAGAAGGCACTGTGCTGGTGCTTCACGGGAGGGGTTGGAGGATGCCCTTGGTTCCTCCTCTGGGGCTGGGGGCTCTGACACCCCTGACCTCACCCTCTGCTCTCCCACAGGGTGCCCCAGGCATTATCGGTGGTCCCGGTCCTCGGGGCAGTGACGGTGCTCCTGGCTCCCCTGGGCCCCCAGGGAACGTTGGTCCCCGAGGTCCTGAGGGCATGCAGGGCCAGAAGGTGAGTCTCCACTGAGGGTGGCTCTCTTCCTGGAGTGGGTGAGGGCTTGGTGACATACGAAGCCATGTCCCAGGTCTGTCCGTGCCCTGCCAGCTCTCTGGCTTTGGGGTCCTCCCTTGTGTCCCCCTGCCCAGGGGATGGGAACCTGGCGGGTTTGGGACCCAGCCCAACCTGCACAGGCATCCCTGGGTTGTGGGGATGGGGAAAGCAGCATATCTGTGGTTCTAGAGAGGGCAGAGAGGCTCCAGGGCCAGCAGGCAGATGCCAAGCATGTGTCCTTTGCAGGGGGAGAGGGGACCCCCTGGGCAGTCGGTGCCAGGGGCCCGTGGTGTGCCCGGCATCCCTGGCGAGAGAGGAGAGCAGGTGGGTGAGCGGGTGCCCGGCCCTGGGCAGGTGACCCCCAGCCAGGACGAGCCTCCCACCTCCCCTCTGCTTGTCCCCAGGGCAGTCCCGGCGCCCAGGGGCTCCGTGGGGAGAAGGGGGAGCCAGGCATGACGGTAAGGAGCCAGGAGGGAGCTGGCACTGGTTCGTGGTGCTTGGGCCACTCGGGGTGGGATGGGGCACTGGCTCCATCCCTCCGCCGCCTCCGGGCTCTGCTCCACACGGGCCGGGGCTTTTCCGCCCCTCTAACTGCACCGTTCCCCACCGCGCCGTGGGTCCCTCGCCCCTCCGCGTGCCCGGCAGGAGGAGGAGATCCGCGCCTTCGTCAGGCAGGAGATGAGCCAGCACTGTGGTGAGCACCCGCCCCGCTGCCCCAGGGCAGGGGCTCTGGCCCTGCTGCCCCTGCCCCCATCCCATCTCTCCCATCTCTCCCGCAGCGTGCGGTGGCCACTTCCCACGGCGCCTGGATTCTCGTGAGCACTCAGGTTGTGACTCTCCCTTCCTACCCCCACCCTGCACGTGTGGCACCGAAGGGGTTCCGGCACCCAGCTGTGCCGCTGGTTTTGGTGGGACTGGATGGCTGGGACCCCCCAGGACCCCTTGGTCAAGGCCGGTGTCAGTGGGGGTGTGTGCACAGGGAGGAGATATGGTGCATGGCAGAAGGGATGGCACGGCAGGGATCCCCGGGGCAGCCGGCTCGGATTGTGCCAATGGGGTCTGGGCATGGCCAGGGTCTGACTGGTAGAGGAGGGACCGTGGGGACTGCTCCCCATCTGTGTTTGGGTGCCAGAGCTGGGGCAGGTGGGCTTGCCAGGGTCAGGACTGCTGGGGGAGTAGGATGGAGAGACGGGGACAAGGGGTGGGCTGGGTTGAGGTGGGTGCTTTCTCTTCAAGGAGGCTGGGGTACTCAGGCCAGGAGCAGCCTCCACTCTGCCCAGGGAGGAGGAAGAATCGTCCGCCAGGAGGGGAAGCATGGCCAGACAGGTGATGGAGAGCCCAGAGGACATACAAGATCTGGCCTTGTGGGCACATGTGCCTTCCCGTGCCCATCCCCATCCTCATCCTGCTGGGCTTCCAGTGGGTGCTGTTTCACTGGGCAGCAGCTCCTCCTATCTGTCCCTCCTCTGGGAACCCCCAGCAGCTCTGGCCTGCAGTGCAGAGAGGAGGGGGTGTCCCCTGGTCCCCCATCCCTGGCCACATTCCCCAGCAGGCCGCAACAGTGCCAGGGCAGTGCTGGGCTGCTCCATACCTCCAAGAGGTGGTTCCCCCTGGGAGGCAGAGGGAAGCCTGGGCCCCTTCACCTCCTCCCTGATGCCTGCACTGTGTCCTTTGCTCTCTCAGGGCTCTTCTCCACCAAGACATTCCCGGCTGGCAGCACAGTCCCTGTGCTCAAGTTGTCACATGCTGAGGAAGAGGAAGGTGAGTGGTCACTCCTGTGCTTTCAGTCCCCGTACCCCATTTCCCCTGCTCTGTATATGTGGCTGGTCATGTCCCTGCCCTCCACTTGTGGGCACTGAGGGATGCTGCCTGGTCCAGGGGGCTGTAATTAAAGAGTGGGGAGGTGAGAGGGCAGCAGGCAGTGTGTGTGCACACGTGTGTGTGTGTGTGTGTGTGTGTGTGTGTGGCTGAGGGGAGCAGGATGGAGGGCACAGTGCAGGAGGCGAGGCCTGCTCACACCCAGCACTGTCACCCAGGGCAGGACAGGCAGGTCATGGTTGACACCGACGATCTCAAGTATGACACTATGTATGGGGATGACGAGGACTACGATGAGGTCCCAGAGATGGACAGCTCGGAGCAGCCCGTGATGGGTGGTGAGCTTCCCTGTGCCCACCTGGCACCAAGGATGGAGCCACTGGGGGCGGCCTGGGCTTCCTGGGCTTTGCTGGGGTGATGCCTCCACACCTCACCTGGCAGCAGGTCCCCATGCCCTCTGGCTGGGGGATTTGAGATTCGCAGTTCTCTCACTGGCACCAGGCACGTGTGTGTTCTCCATCACAGCACCGTGCTACGCACTTTGTGCAGACCTTGTGCTCCATCCCCCTCGCCAAAGCTGTCACCAGCAGTGACAAGTAGTTTGCTGAGCTAGTGGGACATGCTGCCCCTGGCACGTTTCCTGTGCTCACAGTCATGAGCTGCAGGAGAGGTTCCCAAAGTCCTCGGGAGTGCAGGGGAAACCCGGCAGCAGCAGCAGCACACAGAGGGTCCCTCCGGTACCCTTCCACAGGATGCTGTGGCCATCATGTGCCTGTGCCACCTCCCTCCCAGCTCTACCTCCAGCTTTGCTGGGAGAGGGCTTGCCCAGAGCAGCTTCTCCTGCCCTCACTCCCAGCACTTGGGCAGGGCACAGAGATGTCCCCTCCAGCCAAACCCTG